CTTATATCCCACCCACACTACCCAAAGGTGTCTGCAGGATCCAAGTTTTGCCCCCCCCCGGCTGCACAGAAGGACCAGCCCAGCAGCGCCGAGAGCTGACGCACCGGTGGGCAGATGGTGGTCTGGATCGGGTGGGTTGGCCTGTCGCTTCCTGCCTCCTTTTGGGCCAGCCGTTTAGCCCAGCATGGCTGGCTGTCTTTCTTACTCTAGGGATGCTGAATGGTGTTCCCGGAAACAGAGGCTTCCTGCCCTGGTCTGGAATTGCCCTGATACCCAAATCCATTTGCCTAACAACAGGGCACAGGCCTAACAGACGTCCATGGCAGACAGAGAACAGCTGTCTTTACCAAACCGTTTAAGGCGAAAGACTTTTTAAAAACAAAAAGCCCTTCTATTAAAAAGAAAAACAAGCACACCAAGCAAGTAATTAAGAGCGGTGTTAAGGCTTCAGGTTTACTGGATAAAATAACTCCATCCTCTGCTGGCAGATCATCCCCACTTTCAAATAAGGCGTTGCCATTGAATCTCGCCTCTTCAATCCCATCTCTTGGCATAATCCCGACAGCCGTTTGTGCCTGTGAGACTGGGAAGGCGTCAGCGAGTGTCCTGAGAGGCTTGACCTCTTCCAGCAGAGGGGTCTCCACTGAAACTTCAAGACTGGATATTTCGATGCCATTCCGAACACGGAGGGGCTCCAAAGGAGCAGCTCGTGCGAACTGCATAACATTGTTGGACGTAGAAGATTCCAACGGGCCGGCCCTGTTTTTCATATGGAGAACCATCGGGTCCCCAAGGTAGCCATGCGTCCCTGGAAGCACATGGCGAACAAGACCTGAAGGCATGATATATGACATGGGAGGATGCCGAAACCCTCGCCCAAGATGGAAGGAGAGGGAGGATCCTTGCTGCCCAGACATGACACAGCATGGAAGTGGAATCCAATCCACGGTCTTAACGAAACAGGTCTCCCCCCCCCCTCCGCTACAGGGGTTATCTATCTTTCCACTCCACCTAGGCTGATTGTCTGCTGCTCAAAGCCGCCCCCCTGAGAAGCATGTTCAGGATCAGAAGTGTTCCACCAAAGGTTGGTCCTATCCAGGTGGGAAGAGGGGAGAGATAAGGTCAGTTTTTCACTCTGGAATGCCGTTCATTCATGGAAAAGGCATTAATGGAGACCTCAAGAGAAAAGCAGCACCAGTGACGATTTAGAGCCCAAATAAAAGGTGAAAAACCGGCCCTGATCCAAAGATGCTTCTGCTGCTTGCCAGCCTTGCCCAAGAGCAACTGCGTGCAAGGGAGAAAAAGCAGCCTGTGAGTTGCATGTGTGTGTGTGTGGATGCGTGCGTGTGCGCGCGCAGCCCCCACTTACCAGGGAGATGAGGTTGGTAAGGGTCAGCTTGATGTATACCACCAAGGTCTCCTCTGTGTTGCGCACCGGCCGCACCCTCTTGTCGTAGTTGGCAAAAAGCATGTTGAAGAGGCGGAGCTCCTCGCTGGCCTCCAGGAGCCCTGTTTTTTGGGGGGGAGGGGGAGATTTTTTGGAGGGGAGACGCACCCAGGAGGGGAAGGACTCTTCCGGGGTCCCCCCCAGATTTGACACTTGAATGGCCGAGGCTTCTTCCCCACCAGCTCCCCGAGGCCTTGGCCCCCAACCCGCCTCAGCCAGGCCCTTCTCTTACCAAGGGCCCCCCAGCTGAGAAAAAGCCCCAGCCAGAAAGGGCTCCCCATGGCTGCTGTGGCTGCAAAGGCGAGGGACTGAGGAAGGGGAGGCGCACGGAGGCGATTCTGAGGTTGTTTTTGGCCTTCGCTGGGGGGGGGGAGGAATCACAGGACAGCTCCCCGGAACTGAACGTGGATGCCAGAGGGATCGGCTTTCAGCTGGAGTCACATCCTGCACCTGTTGAGAGATTATCCAGATGCCTCCAAAGCCTTCAGTGAGGGATGAAAATGGTCTCTAGGCCAGGGAAGGCAACCACGGGGAGACCACCAGTGGCTGGAGCAGGGGGGGGGGAGCCTTCGGGGGGGGGAGCTAGATCCTGGAAGGGGCCAGAAGGTATTTTCCGAACCCAGAAGGGAAGAGCCTTCTGCTGGGAAACGGCTTTGAGACACACTTTGAGGCAGGCTGCGGTCACATCAGCAGGCAAATCCATTTAGGCTGGATCTTAGTTCACCCCACACAAGAGAGGGCGAAATCGATTTATAGGGGCCACCTAAGGCCTGACAGATTTTACTTTCTTGGGCTCCATGTTCACTGCAGAGGGAGATAGCAGCCACAAAATTAAAAGAGGAAAGCGATGACAAACCTAGACAGCATCTTAAAAAGTAGAGACATCATCTTGCCAACAAAAGTCCGAATAGTCAAAGCTATGGTTTTTCCTGTAGTGATGTATGGAAGTGAGAGCTGGACCATAAAGAAAGCAGACCGCCGAAGAACTGATGCTTTTGAATTGTGGTGCTGGAGGAGACTCTTGAGAGGCCCCTGGACTGCAAGGAGAACAAACCGATCCATTTTGAAGGAAATCAACCCCGAGTGCTCATTGGAAGGACAGATCCTGAAGCTGAGGCTCCAGTCCTTTGGCCATCTCATGAGAAGAGAAGACTCCTTGGAAAAGACCCTGATGTTGGGAAAGTGTGAGGGCAAGAGAAGAAGGGGACGACAGAGGACGAGGTGGCTGGACAGGGTCATTGAAGCGACCAGCATGAATTTGACCCAACTCCGGAGGCCGTGGAAGACAGGAGGGCCTGGTGTGCTCTGGTCTGTGGGGTCACGAAGAGCCGGACACGACTAAACGATTAAGGTTGCTTTCCACGGGTTGGTGGGGGCTTTTAAAAATGCCTCACTTCTAACATGAACTCAAGGCCCTTTTGCAGATGAGAACACTTGGTGTCGTTTTCACTTGTGCTGGGTGGATTTTGCGTGGTGGGGCACTGCTGTTTTTCCTTTTAATGGTATTTTTTTCTGATTCTTTCTTAAAATGTTTCTTGCTCCATCACTTCATCAGTATGTTTGGCATTACAACCACTGACTGCTCTCTCCGTTCAGCAGATGAAGGAGGTGGCAGAGCAGGCCCCCTCCCTCCCTCCCCATTCTCATTTTTTTTAACCACATTAACTGGTGGGTGTCACTTCTCTGGTTTTTCCCCTCCCCGTTGTTTCTAGCAACTGACAGGATAACCGCAGGTGGCACTTCCAATTTGTCAATGTATTAGTTACTTTAAAAAATAAAATAAAAACTTTTAAGAACCGCATGCTCCAAACACAGAAGGGAAATAAAGTCAATGTCAGCGGCGTAGACACCAAAACTGGTTTAAATCACCAGAAATACAGTAAATTGATTTCCATTAAGAGCGTGTGAACATAGCCACCAGTTTAAATGTCGCATGACTTGAACGTGACGTTTATCCTCACGACAACCCTGTGAGGTTGGGGCAGCAGCTGACCCCGGGGACCTCGGGCAGAGCAGCAAACCAGAGTCGCCCCTCCCGGCTCTTCCTGGTCACTCCTGTGCACTACCCGCTAAGCTTGGGGCCACCCAGTGATGGGCCCACCTTGCCCTCAGAGGTGCTTTGGCAATGGGGTGGGGGTGGGCGCTCTTTCTTGGCTCTGGGGCCTGAGCGGGGGCTGAACCTCCACGTGGAGGGCCATCGAGTGGCGGGAGGCAGAACCACGCTCGCCTGGCCATCCCTCCCACACCTCATTTTCCGGCCCATGGCTCTGTTGAACCGAGAATCATGGCCTGTGCAGGCTTTAGGGCAGTGGTTTTTATGTATTACATGTTTTCATTTCATGTTGCTTGATTTTAAATTGTTATGTTTTAAAATTGTTTTAGAAAGCTTTGTAAACCACCCTGAGATCCTAGGCTGGAGGGCAAGCTATAAACATTCAAACAAACAAACAAACAATAAAGCAGGACAATGGATACTGGTTTCACATTTAGCTCAGCAAAGCCATCCGTCACCCATCCTGTATTTGTGCATTTGATTTCCCCCCCCCCTGCAGAATGCAGGATACTCTCTCTCTCTCTCTCTGGTGCTGGCATGGGCGGGGGCACCCCCTGGCCAAGTCACAAACTGTGTCAGACTCACTTTCAAGCACCCCGTGGTTATTGTTCTTTTTTGGGGGGAGGGGAGTTTGCTGAAACATGCCACCGTTCCCCCCCCCCAAAAAAATACTTCATCTTTGTTGGCATCCTGCACCCAAACAAGCCCAGTCCCGGCTGGGATTCAGTTCTCCATTCCATGGAAATGCAGGCGTCCGGTTTGAGGTGCCCGAGGGTTTCAGGTGGGTTTCGTTCTTCATGTCTCCATCTCTTGGCGCAGAAGAAAGAGGGCTTGGATGGGTGAATGTGGTCATGGGTCCCACAGGAAAGGGCTGTCATGGGCCCAGTCATGGACTGACAGGACAGGGGACAACCCTGAACGCATTGGGGGGGGCACCGTGGGGTGGAAACGTGAGCTGCTCATTTGGTGCAGATGCTGTGCCGGGAGAGTCCCAGGCCCTGCATAATGCCACGTCATGTGTAGGTTCCCATCTATGGCTGCAAAACAGAATGGTTCTATGTGACGCTCTCAAGTTGAAATTCTTCGCACCCCAATGGAGAAACTTGTGACTAGCTAACCCATGCGCCTGCTACTGACCCTGCTCACTGTGTATGACGGGCAACTTCCAGGTCCCTGATCTCTCCCGTTCTTGAGGCCCTGGGCCCTGTGGTCATGCTGGGACTGGATCAGGGCCCTTTCCATGGCTGGGGGGTGGGTGGGTGGTGCACTGAAAAGAAGACTTGGCCTCCCTGCAAGAGGACCGACGGCCACCCGACTCCCGACACCCGAGGGGTGGCTGGGCAGATAAGGGAAAGGCAGTCCTTTCTTTCAACCTCTGCCCGCCTATTCCCCCCCGTTCCATCTGGGCTGCCCAGATAAAACCTGATCCCTTTTCCTGCTTCTAATAATAAACAGCCCGCAATGCCCCCTGCCACATGGAGGCTCTCCCTCCAGCTGACAAGGCAGGGCAAGGAGCAGGCGCCAGGCCCTTTGCTTGGCCAGGACAAGGGGAAGGACAGGGCTTTGCCCACAGGATACGGCCCTACCCCACACAGGGATGCCAGGGCCTCATCCGGGTTGGGCCAGGCACTGGACATGGACAAGCAAGAGGCCAAATTTTGGGGGGGGGGGGCAATTCCCTGACCCATGTTAACTAGAGGTCCCATGTTCCCCTCCATGGGTGACATGACCCAGGCGAGCAGCTGGGCTGTGGGCTCCACCTTTGCCTTCACCCGACAGGAGTGGGGCTGCGGTGTCTCCGTCGGAGGAAGGGAAGGGAAGGGAAGGGAAGGCAGGCGGGCAGGAGGGCAGGAGAGCATCTCCTGGAGGGCAGGCCAAGAGGGAGGATGATGTCCAGGAAACCACGGGGTCTTCCGCTGCTCAGAGAGGGAGGAAGAGCGACAGACAGACAGAGGCGGACTCTGCTGCTGGGCTCCCTTGGAGGCGGCGCCGTCCAGGGCAGGGGAGCTGGGAGCGCAGAGGCGAGGGCCTGACGGGCACGGTAAGGCCGGGGGCGCGGGGCGGAGCGGGACCACCACCTCAGGCGGCGACTGCTACCGGAGGGGGGGGGACGACCGCTCCGCAGAGCAAGCTTCCCTTTCCCTCCGTCCCCTTCCCCCTCCCCCCCAAAAAAGTCAGAAGCCCTTCAGAGACAGAGAAAAAAAGCACCCCAGCCTGCTGGGAGGGGGAGGGAGTCCTCCCTCAGCAGCCAAAAGGAGGGGGGAGAGAGGGCGCATCAGCAGCGCCCCCGAAAGGGGAGGAAAAAGCCCCAAGGGAGGGGAGATCCCAGTCCGAACGGGTCAGGAAACAACCAGCGGTTGTCCAGAGGGGACTCGGATGTGAAGACGCAAAGCGGGGAGAAGGAGAGAGAGAGGACCGGGGGGGGGGGGTGGTGTGGGGGCGCGTGGCCACGTGG